CTATAACTTATAGAAACTTCAAAAATTTTAATCACGATCGCTTTTGTCATAATATTTCCAAAACGATATGTGGAAGAATAGGCTCTTGAAAATTGTTCAACAAAGCGGGTTCACGCGAAAAAATCAACATAAATTACATTGTAAGTCAGAGTTGAAAAACCGAATGCATGAACGAGAGATAGTTATTAATATAAGCTAAAAGCAATTCGGTCCAAGAACCCACTCGATTGGGCTAAATATAAGAGTTCGTAACAGCCTAAAAAGTGATCAAGGTCGCAAAAGATATTTATTACAAAAAGTCATTTAATGAACAGAAAAATGACTCTTGACGAACCTGGCAGACAATCAATGAACTTGTAAAACACCTCGTTTGCCGCGGACGAACTGATCGATTACCCACTCCATCAGATATAACCAGATGCATTCACTGAACATTTTTCCACGATTCTTCCGAAACTTGCAAGTGAAATTACTTCTCCAACAAATGGGCACAAGAGTTGTCTTGAATATCTCAACATAACTGACAATGTTTAATTTTAGCCTTGACGAATAGTAATCAAGTGTCTTACTTTTGACTAAACTTAGCAAATCAAAAGCAAAAGGACTTGATAAGATATCTTCGAGAATAATTCGCGAATACAGTAAGAGTGTACTGTCGTTTTCTTCCCTAGAGTGTCTCAATTACCAAGCTATAACCACTCAAAATGGAAGAAAGAACACATACGTCTCCACCACAGCCATTTGCGATAATCATCTATTTGGATGGCACCGATTTGAAGCGGCCACAGGGACCAAAATGCCAACTTCATGCGTGCCTAGCAACAGATGCAACACGCATGCGACTGGTTGGTTGAACGGCGATCACCCCACTGTAGATGAAGGCCTGGTCACCAGGCAGGTCTGTTTTTCCTACTATGATTGCTGCTCTTGGTCTATCAACATTCAAGTACGAAACTGCAGCGATTTCTATATTTATAACTTCATGGGGACACCTCCAGAACATCCTTGCCATCTTCGATACTGTAGCACGGACTGAAGACTCAGTGACAGGGTTGCAAGACAAGGTATATGGGAACAGGGATCAAAGGCCAAAAATGGGGTGGGATAAGGGATCACAGGCCCGGGATCTGAAGTCACAAGCCGTGGGATTGGGATCAACAGTGCCTCAAGGGGATCTGTGATCCAGTATTTCGACCAAAAATGTTGAAATGCGCTTTAATCGGAGAGACCTGCCACCTTTTAAAAAAACTCAGTTGTTTTTTTTTGGATTGCAATTTGTTCTGGTACTAAACCGTATGTAATAAGATTTGCTGGACAAGCTTGACGACTATGATATATTTTACCAAACATATTCTTACATTTGCCTAAGAAGAAGAATTTGTATCGGCATTATAATCATTGTAATAATACTATATCTCATCTTAGTTATTTGCAAGAACAGACTGATTTTTAGTATAGAAACGTGCTTTTCATATTGCTTGCTTGAAATATCTTAAACTCCAGGCAGTCTCTTTTACTCGAAAATCTGTGAGAACGCGCGGGATAATACGAGTGTGCAATCGAAAGCTCGCTCTCGTAAATTTTCGAGCAAACGAGAGACTGCTCTCTGTCTAGAAAGATCCCAACGGATCCCGTACTTCACAAATTCTGAAATTTATGACGTCATGCTTATTTCAGGCGACTCTCTCATTGCTCATTTTTTACCTTTGTTAATGTACAGTATTATTGTCAATCAAAATCACAATAAACGTCCAATTCTGCATCTGAGTGACTGAACTTTATAATCAGGCCGGCATCTTGGTTACTAGAATTTTTGCCATTGTATTATTCAGTTAAACTTGTTCTATCGCCCCCTGTAAGAGAATCCACCACAGTCTTGGATTCTGGATTCCAGGTTTTGGATTCCGGATTTTCCGGCAATCCGGAGCAACTCGGATTTCGGATTCCAATAGTAGTGGATTCCGGATTCCTTCAGCTTTGTTTCGGATTCCAAAACCCAGGATTCTGGATTCAACAAAAAAATATTTTTTCGGATTCCGGATTCCACAGGAAAAAGTTCCCCGGATTCCAGAAACCGGATTCCTTTATATGGAGCTATGTATTTAGTGGACATCGTATAAAGCCGACGCCCTCCATTAAGCGGACAGTAGTTTAAATCCCCACTCCCTTTTACCCTTATGTACTGTAACTAAAACCTTTTTTTTTTGAGGGACTTACCTCTATTTATTGAATAGTCGTGGACGACCAAAAAAATGGCTTAAATGGTCATTTCAATAGCCATTGTTCAGTTACAATGCTGTGTTAAACAAACTCTTTCAATTAGACTCCACTACCCAACATGCTAGACTTCAGAGATGCTATATAATTTCAAGGAAATGGAGGAGACAAGTCCCTACAAAGCCTTGAAGAGCTTAAGCACTACCGACCTTCTTTACGTAGAGAAGAGGGAAAAAAAAAGGAATTTCGTTCAAAAATCTTGGCAGCTTTAAGGCCAAGTGGCTAGTAGCCTGATTTAGAAATTTTGACGAATGTAGAAAATCAGAGACCTGCTCGCATTATAAAAACCTTTCGTAATCCATGTACCTTACTCGCATTAATTACATAGAGGAATAATGTACCTGATGTACGCATATTATCCATTGAATAAAAGAGCTATTTCTTGCACTTGAAAAAGAAACTGTTCATTGCTGCCTGGATGATCTGCAATACTCGTCACATTTGTTCAAACACTTGTCACGTTACAACCCGTTACGCCCTCCCCAATGTTGATTCATGTTTTAAACATACGCGAGTCTCAACATTGGGGAAGGAGAGAAGAAGTAGACTCGTGGAAAAGGTAAGCCCTCAGTTTCGGTCTAGTGTTTCAACATTTGATGATTATTGTGTTTTAATTGTACAATTTTCGTGCAAGAAAATAAATACCGTAAAATTCCGAAAATAAGCCCCTCCATGTATAAGCTCCTCCAAATATAAGCCCCCCAAACTCGTAACCCAGAAAACCCTCCGTTAAGCCCCCCGGGGCTTGTATTTGGAAATTGCCCTCAAATACAAAGAAGCAAAAACGGGAAATTGCAACTGTAAGGCTAGGCCAATCGATTTTGAAACGCAAAGTTCCCTCCATAGATAAGCCCCTCCGAATATAAGCCCCTCCAAAAATAAGCCCCTCAAAAAGGGCGTTATTTTACGGTATATTCCAGGCTTCTTCTCTAGAACGAGGGGACCTGGAGCTAGTTTATATACCGACAATCATTGGTGGATAAGAAAAACAAATATGGCCGCGCGGTAGTTTGGAGGTTTCGCGGGAAGAGGTTTTACTTCACTGTTTCCTCTTGTAGTGCGTTCTAAAAGATGGTCTCAGATCACAAACTCGACGAAGAAAAATATGAATTTTCAAGCGCTCTTCGAGGTAAAAGAAATGGTCCTTTTCATGGCCGATTTGGTATGCATCGAACTTCCCTAAGATGAGATGAGATGAGATTCAATGCGAGTGTGAGCTATAATTGACTACTCGAATGATTGTTCCTTAAATCGACAATCTTTTGCATGGATTACGCCATATCGTGAGCCAAACTAGAAGTCATGGTGATAACTTTGGAGCCTCGAACATCGAACGTCGCGGGAAGTACACGTAAGTAGATGAATTCCTTTTTCATTTGTTTTTAAAATAACTAAGAAGTACAGCTTTATCACTACGGAACGTGTCTCATGTCGGAGTAAGGGAATATTCTAACTCGTGTTTGTTGTTTTTTCAATTTTTATTGAAGTCCCATACATTTTCTCACACGATTCTTTCGCCATGAACGACGCAATGCGCAGTCGCGCACTGTGTATGACAAATGCAGACTGCAGCCTGCAAATGTTATACATGTACATCGGCACGCGCCTCTGATATTTAAATGTTTATTCACTGTGTGGTTATTTTTATATAATAGCGAAATTGCGTGACGTTGCTTATGCATAGTAAAGCTATGATGCAAGCACTAATATTCCTGAATAAGCAGGTATTCACCCCTACCCCTCTCCCACCCTATTCACCCCAAAAGAAATAATAGTATGTATTCCAGATTTTACCAGGGGTTTTAAACTGCTCCTTTAACTGGAGTGTGTTTATAAAAGTCATCATTCAGCCCATATAAGAGAACCCAAGACAGTCTTGGATTCTGAATTCGAGCCCTGGATTTTGAATTCCAGGTACTGGTTTTAGTGTAAGTTCAATTCCAGATCACAATAGCTAGTATGATTTCGGATTCTTTGAGCTATATGCTGATTCCAAAGCCCAGAATTCTGCATTCCTCAGGGAAGAAATATCTGAATTGTTTACTAGGAGAAAACTTCCCTGATTCTGGTGGATTCCCTTTATAACAATAAACATGGTCCGATGTCGTGCAGTTTCATTTAAAGCTAATAGAAAAAATGTGTTGTAGTTCATGGCCGTCTCTGGTCTTTTGGTTTTATTTCTGCAATGGAAACTGCTTCTGACACAGAACAGTGTCTGCTTGTGTTGCAGTGATGGTTTGTTCACTTAATGAAAATTCTAAAGAGAGAGAGGAAAACAAAAAAAATAGAACAAATTACACATTAGCCAAGACTAAGGTTTTTGTAATGTAAATTAATGGTGGGAATAGTATTATATCTGGTGTATTTTTTTTTGGTAGTAATGGCAGTTAAATAATATTGAACTGCAGTAGTTTACTACACAATCAGTGAAGTTATGTATGAAATACGATGTAATATTTTTTTTATTCATTCACTTTGTTTAAAATCATTGGTCAACATAAAAGCGGACCTCTGGAGCCTGTGGGGTCGAGGGGAGGGGGGTGTGGAGTTGAAGTGTACCCGTTGCATCCCTTACCCTACACGACAGACACCTCTCATAGACAGAAGCTCACTTGCAGAGTCTTGAAAGTGTTGATAGTGCTATTTTCACAAGCTGCTAAGTATAACTGTGAAAGGTTTGAACCCAGGAGTCATTTCAAAAGTAGATTGACAAGTCTTCATAACCAATGACATCACAGCTTAAATGACAGACGACCAATAAAATCGCAACGTAATTGACCAATCAGGTCAATAACCAGAGTATAATACCATCAAATGACGGGATACAACTCACTTTGACTCTGAAGATGACTACCACACAGGTTGTCGGAACATCAGTCACTGTCAACAACAACAGTCCTATTCAGGACTATGTTCACCCGGATGATCAATCTTAACCTACTACTAAGTATACTTGATGCAGAGGATTGCTGTTTATACATAACACCAACCTCCTTTTGCAGAACAAAAACATGAGTTTGAAGGATTTGGAACTAAAACCATCAGTGAACCAATTAGTGTCAGTAGTCCTGGGACCATAAAAAACACGTAGCGTACATATTCACTTTCGCTCAAACCTGATGAGGAACTAAAAAATACAAGGAAATTAAATAATGATACACACTGTATAATGAAAATGATGATGATGATGATAATGATGATGATGATGATGATGATGGTGGTGGTAGTGGTGGCGATGAGGATGATACATCTAGATAGATTTTAAACAAAGCTAAATGTAATAATAATGATAATAATAATAATAATAATAATAATAATAATAATAATAATAATAATAATAATAATAGTAATAGAAACACTATACATATATATCTGACTGAATTTATGTAAACATGGCTTCAGTGAGTGTCTACAGTTCCTCAGCTAAGTATGTCCTTGTTACCAAGAATTTCACCCTCCCCACCCAGGACACCGGGTAACTGTCTGCACCTCCCACTGAGCTCTGCGATTATCATGATAACTGTTGTCAGCAGAGGCCTTATTCAGCTGGTTCGGGCAAAGTAAGAACAATAATTATACTTGCCAGTCAAAGCCTTTAGTAAACACCGCTCCTTACTGAAGGGGTTGTGCCAGAATACACCCTCTCTACCCCACTAGATTTGCTCCCCAGGCTTGGGTCACCCATCCACTGCGCAGTTCCTTTGCTTATCTGCCTGTGCCGACCAAGACGCCAAGTCCCCCACATTTTTGGAGACCGCACTGGCTTGAAGCTGGGAGAGGTGAAAACCTATTGGCCACGTTTTAACGGTTTCAGACAGATATATACTTAACAAATGTAAAATACAATATTTGATTCTTACCCGTTTTTAGGGTAAAACTCCTGGATTGTCATAAACATTCCTCCGCTTAACACCCTTCCAATGAAAACAATGATGGAGAAGGCAGATCCGCTGGATTTCTGTACAAATTTTCAATAGATACACTTGTGATAGTTTCCGGTTCAGTTAACGTCAATGGGTGGTCGCTTAAATGTATGAGAGACAGTCGCACATGGAGGTTCGACTGTATTATTTTATTGTACTACTAAGTGCCATTCCAGAACATTCCTTTACTGGCGGTAACAGCAGCAAAGGAAGTGGGTTTCTGTTTTTAATCTGTTTTCCCTGACCATGAGGGTGTTAACGAGGTGGTAACTTTTGACGGTTGACACCGTTATTTAGAGGAAATTTAGTCCAAGCGCTTTGACGGTTGAATTTTAGGTCGTTTGACGGCTGACAGTTAACCCCATTCAGGTTGAGACTCTCGAATATTTGCTCGTAGACTGCGAGCAGTCTCTCTTTTTCTTCAGATTTAGTAAAGGGAGTTCACGCGCGCGCGCCTCTCCCGTCTCGCGCCTTCTATCACGCGCGTGATCATTTTCGTGTCTCGCGCGTTTCGCTCGACGAACTGAGAAAAACAGAGATACTGCTCGTTGTCTAATTGGCTCGCAGAGTGTGATCATCCTCGAGAATTGTGTGATTGCTATTATGATAGTAACATCTTACCTTATCTTTCCCAGTAAGTTCAGTTGCAAATGATAAAGCCATGACGTACATGATGGACATGCCGCTTCCCATCACGATTACAGGAGCATATGTCGACTGTTTGGGAAGAGACGTTTGGGTCTGGAAGAAGCTAAATACACATCCCAAGATGACTAGCAGCGAGGCCGCGAGAAACGTCCTCTAACAAAGATGACAAGCATAAAAGTGGTGATGAGCAGAAGGTACAAAACTTAGTTATGAAGCATACTCTAACTTAAAGGAGCTGTGTCACGGAATTGACTCAAAATTCAAGGAGAGGGAACTGCCTCCTGCCGGGGGGTACTCCCTATGATGGCCTATACGGGGAGGCTCCACCCGAAGGGGTATCTTTTTCAGGCTTAGGGTATATGAAAGGGTAGGGATTTCAGACAGCCGTGGCACGGCCTCTTAATTAGTTGCATATAAGTTAATGAACCTCCAATGAAGTCTTTAATGTATGTACCACATTAACCTTAGGACGATACCATTCTATGACTGGGATATTTTCTGCATTATGGAATATGTCAATACTTGGGAAAAGGGTTATCAAACTTTAGATTTATGAAAATATTTTAGACTGTAAGCAATGAGGTCTTGAATTTATGTCTTAGTTAGAATGTCCTTTAAAACGTTGTTTTTACGCCTCTGCGCCATAAAACGTCTACCACTTATTTATTTTGTTATATCTCTTACATATCGCAACCATGGCAATGCTCAACAATCACAACACTGCCCTCTTTTGGCTCGTAACGTCGGAAATTTTTGTCTCCCTAACGGAATGTTTAAAATAATGATTACTGGATCGATACAAAGGAGTACAGATGCAACGTGAAACAAACAAACAAACAAACAAACAAACAAACAAACAAGCAAACAAAACAAAACGAAAAAAAAAAGTTGTAGTAATATTCTATTCGTGTACAGTTTAGACTGCTTGCAGTCCGCCCCTTTTTCTTAAAATCCATCTAGTTTTTAACAAACCTAGCGCGATGGGTTACGCGTGGAGTAATTAACTTTGAAAAGAAATACAAGAGATTGCTCGCTGTCTATGTATACTTTAGTACCTTGCTTTTGAACTTCTTGCTGAGTTTGTTTGAGACTACGCTACCCAGCGTTGCGCTGATTAAGAGAACAAGAGGAAAGTAAGCCACGGCTTGCTGTGGAATTAAGCAGTCCAGTAAAGATTAATACAACTAGTTGCAAGAAGATATCAAAAACTATCCAATGGGCAAATCAATGCGAGCAAAATTAATGTTTATCACTCCCTGCTCTAGCCTTTTCCAGGCTCCAAGATAGAGAGGAAAGGGGATCGAGAAAAAGATGCGCGAAAACAGCGCGGGGACTGGGGGGAGACGGAGTAGTGGAGCCTGGCCGGCTTCGCGTGCGCAGTGCCTAGCAAATATGTCGAGTATGTGGAACCCTCGTACACCGCATCTTTTGACTTTTTGACATATTGTGACATTTTGGCAAGAGAAATGGTTTTTCTGGAAGTGAAGTTCTCCCTTTCCGCAGTTTTTCGCTCGATCGCTATTTTACTGCTCGCTCGCTTTTTTCGCTCGTCTGCAGTGACCGAGAGCCTGGCAGAGGGTATTCCAGTTCAAGTCGTTACGGTTGCAACGTTAGAAATTGAAAGATCATGGCAGAATTAGCTAATTTGAGCCCGAGAAATGTAACAAGAACAGTCATTATTCGTTCAAGAATATCTCTCTGTTTCCGATTGGCTCAGATCCTCTCGCTAATTTTTCACATCCAGCCAGCGTTGGCTTATTTTGGGAGGCGCTTGCGATATTGGTGGCAATGACGTCAATTGTAGAAAAAGGGACGGCAAACCAAACCTATTTGGTTAGTTTAGATTGACTACACTGCATTTGCTTCTCTGACCGCAGGCATCCTTTGTGTATAAATTGATGTAATGCGATTCTTTTCTACACGCAAAAAAGTAAATTAGGGAAAAAGTAATAATTAAAAGTAACGAGGGAAACGTTGAAAAGATGATACTTTTTCTTACCTTTTCAAAGCCTTGAGTTTTTGTTAAGTACAATGGCAAATAGGAATATGTTGCATCCTGCAAAAGGCGTGAACAAGTAAAGATGACAGCAACCTGTTGATAAAAACATTTCAAAGAAAAATCCTGTCTTTCAGTGGCTGAAAAATCACAAATATTTAATCATAGCCTTGGCTGATTTAGACGCTGCCTTCAGTATGCTATATTGTTGGGAATTAAAAATCATGGGAAAATCAAATTTTATGCGGCATCCATACATACTAAAGCTATGTGGGACAAAAAAAGTGCCTAATTTATGAGATGCTGCACTCCTAAGATTTGATAACCTCTTTTCCCTACTACGACATTCTCGCTAAAACCCGTAGTAGAATGACAACGACTTTCACGTTTTCCGGCCAAAATGACGCATCTTCACGCGCAAGCACTACTTAGTATTGTGAAAATCTCTTACTCGTAGTCGGCCGCGTCTTAGAATCGTTTAAAGGTCTGTATTGTATTGATTCTCACCTTCGTTCTTCTGTCTATATATTTTTATCGTTTCTGCTCATTTGCATTTGATAAATGTGGCATATCGTCGCCGAAACGTCGTGTTTTTATCGCGCTACTTTCTGTGCCCAAATGTTTTACGAAATCTTTCGTTAACCGGTCAAATATTTGGCCCTCGTGTTGATTCGCCAGCTGGAGTTAATGAAAACACTTTTAAAAGTGGAGACGTGGATTCTGAAAACGGAGGATTATCGCTTTACAATGTCAAAAAGAGGCAGGCTGCACACCCTCAGTTGAAAAATACTGATCATCATCATGAAAAATAATATAGGCTAATGTAAATGATGAGCGAGATGCATTCAGCTTCTTCTCAGTTTGAAGGACACCTCTTTTATACGAAAACTGGGGGTTTCTCTGAGAGTTGGTCTCTGACGTACTCCAATCATTTTCTTTGACTCCAAATAAGGCTCGCCTTTGTTAGGGAATCCAAGAAGACAGACTTAAATTTTGGATTCCACGCCAAGGATTCCGGATTCCAGGTACTACATTTCCGATTCATCGTCATTAGAACTTGGATTTCGGATTCCTTGTTAGTAAAACTCGGATTCCGGATTCCAAAGCGAATTTTACCAGATTCCCTAATCCAGATTTTCTTATAAGGGACGATAAGGTGGACACCTCAACTCTAAACTAGACTCCAAATTTCTGTGAACGTGGTGTGACCCTCGCTGTGTATAGAGGATATTATTAAAAAAAAAAAAAAAGGATGTGGGTACATGGGATGGCATGTTTTTGTAGTAGATTTGTTCTCCGTCAACAGCAGCTTGGCTGCAGCTGTGTGTTTTAACCTCGATTAGAATAACTTAGCCATTAATGTTTGGCAAACTAACCTTATATAGCTTAGGATCCATTAGCCAATCTTTAAACGTCTTTGAATTTTCGTTCCTATCACCAGAGACGCTAACGGCTGCCAACTCGCCTTTGATCACGGAATCACACTCTTTTTTTTCCTCATTCGACCCACGTTCTTCCGGCTCCAGGAACAATGCCGCCTTCCACGTTTCTGTTTCTGGCGAAGCTGTTATTTCGACAGGGAAAGCATCACTCGTGTTCAAAGCTACATCGTCGTTATCGTCCTCTTTCTGTTCGACGTTGTCGCATCCTTGGTCTTTCTCACCAGAAAAGCTGTGTTTTCTACTCTCTTTGGTTTGTGTTGCACTTGATATTGGCGCTTTATTTACCGGTTCAAGGCATTGCTTCATATCATCGTCATTGACTTTGATCTCAGCTGTGCCGTTTTCATCCTGGTATCCCTCGTTTACTATGGAAAGCGTATGACCAGAATAGCTCTCCTTTATGGTTATTCCCTCTATTTTAATCTCCTTTGACTTATGCAATCCAGGCTGATCGGGGTTATCATGCACTTCACAGCTTGTTTTGGTTGGTATATCCTTGGCCTCTACTTCAAGGTGGTAGCCTTCATTGGCTACCCCTTTATTGCCAGAATAACTCTCCCTATCATTGACCTGTTCTGTTTTTATTTTCAGTGATTGGTACGCGTCAGAATGGGCGCGGTCCGAATCATCCTTAAGGCTTGATTCATGGGACATGTCACGGGCCTTTTCCTCCACCTCAGTGTCAATTGCGTCTCTCTCGTAGCCCTCACTGACTAGGGTCAGCGTGTAACCAGCTTCAGGAATCGAACAGACGCAGCCTTTAGTCTGAGAGGCGTTGACAGCGGTTTTCTCTTTGCTTTTCTCATCTTCTTTTTTCTCCGGATTGTTTTTTTCCAGAGGACTGAAAAAACATCACATTTGCGTCATTTGTGTATTTAAATCAAACTGCACCAGTGCGCAGTTTGACTTTTAGACTTTTGGCTTTGATCATTAACGCTGGCTATGTTACGTTTTACATATTCTCCTTACAATTAATTCGGGTGATTCATTGCCGGAAAATGCGTACAGTTTTGTTCAGGTGAGGATCTCACGATGAAGGATGAACTTGTATGAAAATGACGGATTGGGGTGAGGAGAATAATATTACAGGCGATATCGACTAACAAAAATGATGATAATGATGATGATGATGGTTTTGATGATGATGATGATGATGATGTTTATGATGATAATGATAAAGTCTGGTGGTGGTGGTGTGGTGATGATAGTGATAGCATTGGAGCCCAAATCACAATGAAAGAGCCAGGTCCCCTTTCGTTATAACTTTTCTATAATCAATAAGTATCACAGAAGTTGAGAGCCTCGATATAACGAACCTTCGTATAACGAAGTCTTCGGTATAACGACAGATTTTCTTTACCCCAGGAATAGTAAAATATGTGAAAAATAGAACCTCCGTATAACGGTACCTCGTCACAGGGAACATATTTTGCCAGTCCCTTGGCTTTTCGTGATATCAAGGATCCACTGTACAGGGTTTATTCACTAAGTCTATGATAAAAGAGTATCTATAGCGTGTATTTATTTTATATATAATTGCTGCACAATTTAAAGTAGGAAGCTCACCATGTACTGAAATGTGCCTGTTCTAGATCTGTATAATTCTCTTCTTTCTCATACTGCAAAACTTTCGGCTCTAAAGTGGCTGAGGACTTGTCTTGTGTTGTCACTTCCTGATGGGTGCTAGTTTTTGATTCTTTAGTACCAATGTAGAAAACGATTGTAAATACAATTCCCGTAACAGTAGCAATCCAACTAAGGTGCTGTGAGTCAACAACAACAACAACAACACTAATGTCATTACCCCAATTAAGGCCCGATATCCACATACAAGTTCTCCACTGCGGGACGGTTCTCTTATTTGATGTAGAAAAGACGACGGTATCAGTTCTCCATAAAGAACTAGAATACAAAGTGGAAAAGCTTAGGTACTCGAGGGTTGGAGGTCGGTCATGCAGCCGAGGATCAGAATCAAATTAATCCGAGCTTCCAGTTGGTAAAAAAAACATCCTGGAAGGGAGGGGAGGGGGGCCTTATTAACTTTCTTCCCCTTTAAAGGGGGGAGGGGTGGGAGCTTAGGGGGGGCTTTATAGAGGATTTACCGTATGTTTTATCAGAAATAGTTTACCGCAAATGATGACATGTCTTCAGGTCCCAGACTCGCTCCGCTATCCTGTCCCAGAAGCCCCCACGCGATTAGGTAAACAAAAATTCCCGTCAAAAAGCTAAATGCAGTCCTGTAAAAAGGTCAAGAACAAATTATCAATCAGAGAGTTTTCCTAAAAGTGCCAGAATTCATCTGGCAACATCGTGACGTGTGTGTAGTAACATCTAAGATGGCGAATGCTTGAATAAAGATAAGAGACGACACTACGGACAAAAAATCAAGGACGACGGGGGGACATTTTGTGCTGGTAAGGGAGGGGAGGGGAGGGGAGGGGAGACTAGTGACTTGACGTTAGGAAGCTCTTGAAATGGGGAACACTCTCTCTCAGGACGTTAGTTTTTGGAAAATCTCCTCCGAGGGGCTTGGGGCGAGGAAACGGCTGAGACTGCTTTTCGGAGGGGTGTAAGGCAATTTAGCAAGAAGAAACTGGAAATTATAAGAGGTGATATTCCGAACCTGATAGCGTTCACTGCCATTCCTTCTTGGAGTGTCCTCGCGACAGCGGAGATAACTGAAAGATGATTTATCTCCACCACGCTGAATGAAACATTTCCAGCAACCGATATGCAGACATAATAGGCAAATTGAGCCCAGCCAACTGTCTTATGATTGCTACAGAGGAGGCATTTGTTGTAAAGAAATGGAAGTGTAAGTGCCATGAGGAGCGTTCCTACTAAATGCCACGACTTTCTTCGACCCATCCTCTTGGAAATAAGGGGTATATCCACACGGTCGCACAGATATCCAATCAACAGAGAAAAGAATGCCTCAACTACTTGCGTTATCAACAAAATCATCCCTGCCTGGAAAGCTGGTAGCTCGACCACCTGCATGAGGAAAACTATTTCAAAGGACATGTACAGATGACGGAAAAGGTCGTTGAAGACATGGCCGACTCCACACGACAAACGTTGTTTGATGTTTAAACCTTTTTTCTGATCACCCGATCCCAACATCGTGTACTTCGTTTCGGCGGAAAAAGCGTTCCTTTCATAAAAAGATGCGTAGCGCAGTTCACTTTTCTACAAACAACTATCAAAAAAACGAAGAAAAGAACAGTTAAAAACAAAAACAAACCAAACGAGTGCCGTAGCACATACGACAGCGGTAGTGGCCTCTGCAGCATACATTGTGCGAAAATTTCTAATCACAAATACCCGGAAGATATGGGGATAAGAACACTTGGTATTTGCCCCAGCCCCCCTCTTTTACCCTGGGGAAAGCCGTCGTATCAGTGGCTACGGAGGTATTTTATCCTATGCCTTTATACTGAAAGGATCAGTTATATTCGAAGCTTCCGCAAGGGGGAAACTCCGGGGAAACAAACAGCCCAAAAGTGGTATATGTAGCTAGAACTTGGGGTTTATAGAAATGATCCCCGTAAGCGGCGCCGCTGCAAAGTAAAAGCCAACGTTAGCTTTCGTCAGCGACCAGGCTAATTACACGCGGCAAACACAACAACAGTACCTAAGGGACGGACCATTAGAAAACTTATTGGGGGGGGGGGGGGGGGGA